TCCAATATGTAATAACCACCACCAGATCGCATCTCCCATGCCATCCCACACCCGCCACAACCACCAGCACCACCACTGCTGACCACCACACAATAGATGGAATAAAAAAAACCCAGAAAATTGAGGTGATGAAGTAGATCTCGCAGATTCAGCGTTGCGCTCGTCGCGACTGGTTGAGCTGTGAGCAACGCCGCCTCGCTCCACTACACCTTGCCACCATTGATAAGGGTGGTTCCGTAATCTAGGAAAGGGAGAGAAGATAGAGACTGAGGAAGAGAGAAGAAGGGAGATGAGGAAAAGTGTCGATAGAGAGGATGAGAAGAGAGAGGGAGATGGAGAGAAAAATAAATTGATTAGGGTTTTGAGATGAAATCTGTATAATTAAAAATTTTTCTGATTTTTGAAAGATTAAACTTTGCCTATAATTTATGATATGAGAATTTTTAATCTATTAGAATATGTAATTTCCACTTTATTTTTCATGGAACAATTAGCCACCATGGGACTTTATTTTTGGTTGGGCTGGTGTTTTTAAATGAGAGAGTTCACTGACTAAATGCCTCAGAAGAAATCAGTCATAGTTTTACACGGTGGATCCAAATTTTCTTCCTCTACAAATGAACTGAATTTGGTGACAGTAGATATGTTCAGAGGTACATGGGAAGGTAAACATGGATTAAATTTTATTTATTTATTTTTGGTTTGGAACACATGCAAAATGCTGTAAAAAAAAATTATGAATTATAATTATGCACATCAATTGCTTCGTAAAATACCCCAATCAAGTTTTGTTCATTTCAAGGCGTGATTAACAAAAGGCACCTTGCAACCTTCAGTAAAATAATTCTTATTTATTATTGATCCGTATCTAAGCTCAAATCTTGTGAGACAAAGGTTGTTTATATTTTTCCCAACTTGCAATTTTTCCTGGAATAAAGTTGGCAAATATGGAGAATGGATAATGAATTTCTGTTTTTGGATCGACTTGATCCCATCAAGAGGATGATCTTAGTTCTAGTTTCTCCACTCAACTAGAAAACGGATAGTAGTCAATTCAAGGTAACAAGAATGCATGGAAAATGTTCAATGGAATACTTAGCTTGGATTTCTCTTATTCAAAGGCCATTTTGGTCATTTTGATTACTCAAGGCAAGCCCTATATTGTGAATTTTTAATTATCATATGTGGCGTCTTGGAGTCCTCATTCTTTGAATAAAGAGAGAGGCGGCATCTTGGAGTCCTCATTCCTTAAAAAAAGAAAGAGGTGGCATCTTTGAGTCTTCGTTCCTTATATAAAGGAACAGACGATATCTTGGAGTCCTCGTTCCTTGAATAAAGGAAGATGCGACATCTTGAAGTCCTTATTCCTTGAAAAAAGGAAGAGGTTAATGTCAGACGTGTTTGCCCTTGCAAAAAGAGTCTTTTTTGGGCTTTTTCATGGGATGTTTATTCCTCGCTTTGCCAGATGCTTATTTCTAAATTTACAAGATGTTTATTTCTCTCCTCTCATTATCATCGAGCTTAACTGTAAGACCTCATTTATCCGAGGCTACTTATAAGACTCCGATAGTTTGAGAGCTATTGGCGAGATGTTTATTCGCTGCCCTGATAGATGCTTATTTCTGACTTTGCGAGATGTTTATTCCTCTTCTCTCACTATCATCGAGTTTAGCTGTAAGACCTTGTCTATCCGAGGTTGCTTGTAAGACTCCAATAATTTGAGAGCTATTTGAAGAATGTTTATTTCCCGCCTTGCTAGATCCTTATTTCTAAATTTGCGAGACGTTTATTCCCCTGATCTCACGATCATCGGATTTAGCTATAAGATCTCATCTATCTAAAGTTGCAAGACTTTGATAGTTTGAGAGCTATTCGCGATATGTCTATTTCTCGCCTCGCCAGATGTTTATTCCCGACTTTACGAGATGTTTATTCCTTGTTCCTCATTATTGTCTAGCCTAACTGTAAGACCTCGTCTATCCAATGTTGCTTATGAGACTCTGATAGATCAAGAGCTATTATCAGAATGTCTATTCCCGCCTCACCAGATGCTTATTCTTGATTTTGCAAGATGTTTATTCCTCGCCTCTTAATATCGTCGAGTTTAGCTGTAAGCCCTCGTCTATCCGAGGTTGCTTATAAGACTCTGATAGTTTGAAAGCTATTTGCGGGATGTCTATTCTATGCTTCGCCAGATGCTTATTCCTAGCTTCGCGAGATGAGTATCCCTTGCTCTTCACTATCGTCGAATCCAAATATAAGACTTCGTCTATTCGAGACCTACTTATAAGACTTCAACAATTTGAGACGAGCCACCAGCTTGATATTTATTCCTCGCTTCGCGAGATACCTCACCATATGAGTTATTGCATTATAGTTGCATTTCTATTCAAGAAAGCTCATTATGTCTCTACATTACAGTTACTTATCTTTCAGAGTTTTGTTTCTGCTTCAACTATATCCATCTACTTATTTTCAGAGAATTTACATTATCCCTTGCGTGGATGAACCATCCACCATGCAAGAAGCCCTTGACATGGATGAATCACCCACCATGTAAAGATGTCAATTACCATTTCGTAAGAAGAGGGGTGGGCTTACCTTATCACTTACAAAGACGAAGCCTTCCATGACTGGATCAAATACCATGGAGGAAGCCCTTGCAAGGAGGTAAAAAATAAAAATAAAATAAAATAAGAGCTTCAACAAGGACAAGTGTGATGCCTCCCACGAGAAGCCATGCCTTGCTACCTTAGAAATTCATCTCTTCCATGGCTGAACAAAATATCATGGAGGAAGCCTTTGACATGGATACGTCACCCCCATGTTACGATGTCAGCTTATCACAACTATATATATTTAGAACATGGCCTTTGCTACTCACATCCAAAGCGCGCCTCTACTACTTATGTTCGAGCATCGCCTCTACTACTTACATTTAGAACAAATGTGACTTATATTTCAAGTTCGATCTGCACATGATGTGCAACTTAGATTTGGGGGACTATTGTTACACATATTAATTACGTGTCATATGCGTGATGGAAGAGGTCCCACATTGGTCGACGTGGCATCGATTATTTAATTTGATTGGGCCTATTAAGTCAAGAAGCCTCGTCTTGGACAATTTAATTGAACAATTGCATATTGGGCTTGGAACTTGGGTCCGGCCCATTAGCTCATGAGGCCCATTTCCATTTTCTATATATATAAACCAAATCCTCTCTCCCTCTTTAGCATTCATATTTCTCTCATCCGATTGTTGACTTGGCCGTTGGAGTGCAAACGATCGTCGAACCTTTTTCTCGATCAGCGGCCTTTGCCTTCTAATGAGGTGATCAGTGTGCAGGTGATATCTACCTGAAGGGGAAGCGATCAGGATTTTGTTGGCACATTTTTATGGGACAACAATCTCCAGTTGGAAACGTGATATTTAGAGCCTTCGAAACTGTGAATTTGAATGTCGTCTAGTTCATATTGCTAGTTTATTTTCACGTGTTTTATGGTCCATCAGTAATTATCGAAAGATGAGAAGTTGGAGGTGACATCAAGACTATAATTGAAAATATGATGTAAAACCGAGATTGGGGAGCAAAAATGAATCCAACGAGGCATGAAATGAGACCTGAATGAAGAAACCAGAAAATTGGTTAGAACATCCCGATGGGCGGCCACCCTTCTTAATTGGAGGCCGCCAGTTGAGTTATATGTGTTGGTTATTAAAGTCACTTCTATTGACTAAAGGATTCATGCATTAAATAAATGCCCCAGCATTTAATGTTAAATAAGAAAATGCATTCTAGCATTTAATACATGGGTTGAAAAACTCATACAGTCGAAATATGTAAAGGAAATGCACAACCAACTTTTGCACATCGGTGAAATTTTCATTATGAATAGAAGGTTGCAGTTGAAGAGAAAGGTGTACAATTATAGAGAGGAATCTATCAATTAAAGGGTTATTTTGGGCACCCTTTAGGACGTGATTTTAGGACTTAATTAAGCACTATAATATGAATTTTTCCATTCATTAGTGCTTTTTGTGAGCATAAATACGACAATATTTGGGGATTTTGAAAATTGCAGAGGTGAAGAAATTCAAGCTTCTCTTCCTGTCTTCTTTGAACCAGGTGATGTACTTAAATTCTTGCTTATATTTATTAACATGAATTCCTGCTAATTTCGTAGCTAGGACAAATGATTTACCTTTGAGTTAAACCTTTGATTTTATTGTTAGAGACTTTATTTATTAATGTGTACCATTTTTATTGTTGAGGTTGATTCAATTAATTCTCATGCTAATAATTGTTAATTGATTTGTAAACAATAACGAGTCGAGAGTTGAATTATTTATTTATACCAAGTATTAAAAATTTGTAATTCACTTGAGTGATGGAGATACATTTTTAGAATTATTGCAAACAAATGAACTATTTTGTGGACTAAATCATTTTATTAGGTTAGATCCAAATATAGATACAATGAGTTTACTTCATGAAGTAAAACTGAATTTACTCTAGAAAAGTTTTAAGTTATTTTAAAAAAGTTCGATAAAAGTGAACAATGTGAATATTTCAAAATCAAGGATGATTGCTAAGGTGAAATCATGATTCATGACATTTGTTGAATCATTGGATCTCAAAAATCATCATGCCAACTAATTCACCAATTATAGTTTAATTTTAGCATAAAAAGTAGAATAGATAACAACAATTCCCTCTACTTTTTTCGTTTTGAACTGAATAAATTGTGCAATTGAATCAGGTCAATAATAAGTTATTATGGTCTTTGGAACGATAATATGAACTCTTTAAATCCAATTGACTACTAATTTGAAAACATCTTTCATTTGCAAATTTTTACCCAACAAAAAATTAGTGCCTGTTTGGATCCCCTATTTGGCTAAGAATGTATTTTGAAATAATAGATTGATGGAGAAGGTGTCGTTAAAAAATAAGAAAGATTTTTAGATTTATGTGTAATACTATTTTATTAAAATATGTGTGGTTGAAAAGAAGAGAGAAAATGTATTTTGAAGATAATGGAGATCAAACAAGTGCAGAAGATACATCTTCAATTAAATCACTAGATTTGGCAAATCTTGCTGATATTGATTGCTTAAAGAAAAAGGAAAATAAACAATATACTTTTGTTTAATCTGATCCTGTTCCAAATGGAAAGAAAAAGTTCATTATAAAAAGGTGTATTTATATAAAATTATGGAATGACCAATAACAATACAATCAAACATGATAAAAACCCTATAACCGTGAGTCACATTTTTGTATAGTTCACGATCATTTTTTCCCCTTTTCAATCATGCTATCATCTTCCTATATATGGTAACTCGGTGCTAATGCATATCACCTGAAAGTATCCAATTCAAGAAAAATGCCATTGCCTAATGGAGAAGTACAATTTAGTGAGCTTCTTCGTGCTCAATCTCACGTTTGGAACCATATTTTCAATTTCATAAATTCCATCTCTCTCAAATCTGCAATCCAATTAGGCATACCAGATATTATCCTTAAACATGGCAAACCAATGACACTACCTGAATTAGTCGATATCCTCCGTATAAATAAAGCAAAAGCACATGGTGTGTACCGTCTAATGCGAATTCTAATCCATTCGGGGTTCTTCATCGAAGAAAAAATTTCTCAGAATGAAGAAAAGAAGGGATATTGGCTAACATCAGCTTCTCGTCTCCTCCTAAAAGAGGAGCCATTTAGCTTGGCCCCACTTCTTCTAGTTGTGCTTGATCCGTTTTTAACAGAGCCATGGCACTACGTAGCTGAATGGTTAAAAGATGACCATCCCACGCCATTTAGTACGCTACACGGGAGGAGCTTCTGGGCCTATGCTGGCCAGGATCCGAAACTGAACCACTTATTCAACAATGCAATGGCTAATGATTCACGGTTGATTACAAGTGTGGTTATTAGAGATTGTAAACATGTATTTGAGGGTCTGAATTCCATTGTAGACGTAGCAGGTGGGACCGGGACGATGGCCAAGGCCATTGCTGAAACGTTTCCAAACTTGAAATGCACCGTGCTTGATCTTCCACATGTTGTTGCTGGCTTGAAAGGGACTAAGAACTTATGCTACGTCGGAGGAGACATGTTTGAGACTATTCCTAATGCAGATGCAATTTTACTCAAGGTTGGACATCATCTTCCCTTTTTTGGTAGGCTTAAGTACATTCTTAGTGGTCCAACTTTTATTTGTTTTACTTTGTCATTATAATGTATATAAAAGGCGCATTTGGTACAGTACTAGATAAGTTTAAATATAACTTTTATTGATAATTATCATAAACTTGTTTAGGAACAATCTATCTCACTTGCTAATTTTTTACTGATAGACATTTACGAGTTTACGAGGGTATTTTTATTTTATTTAATTGCTTCAAAATAATGTCATAGATCTTTTTTTTTTTTTAAATAAATAAGTTAACAAAACTGTCAAATGAGTTTGTAAAAAAAAAAAAGAATATATTTTTGTGGAAGAAAGACTCAAAGTGGAAGATGGTGGGTTTAATTGTTCCTCTAGGAAGTAGTAAACACTTTTTTTTTCTTTTTTTTTTTGAATAAGAAATCACTTGAAACAGATTATATTAATTACAAACTCCATGAAGTAACAAAGCTGAATAATGTTTGTCAACAAAATTCTCACCAAAAATTAAGATATCCGCATTTTCTATCGAACAATCTAGTTCTCAAAACTATCAAACAAAACAGAGTCATATCAAGCTTGCTTTTTGTATCAGATGAAATAAAACGAGTTTAACTATTTTACATTAAATAGATACAAGCACGAAATTATTGAATGCTAGAAAAACAAATGATGTTTCATTATTGGGCCCAATAACTTCAATATTTATATATGTAGATATTGTATTTGTAAATACACCTAATTTTGTTTTTATAAGATATATTCTCTTGAGTATCTTAAATGTTAACCTAATTGTACTCATTGTTTGAATTATGATAGTGGATATTACATGACTGGAGTGATGAAGAGTGCATAAAGATATTGAAGAAATGCAAAGAAGCGATACCGAGCAAGGAAGAAGGAGGGAAACTGATAATTATCGACATGGTTGTCGTCGACAATCAAAAAGAAGAAGAAGAAATAATTGAATCCCAACTCTTCTTTGACATGATGATGATGGTTGCCGTTGGTGGAATAGAGAGAGAGGAGAGAGAATGGATGAAGCTCTTGAAAGCTTCTGGCTTCTCTCACTACAAGATAATCAATAAATTGGGATCCAGATCTCTCATTGAAGTTTACCCTTCTTGATATATATGAATAGAAAATGTTAATTGTTTGTCATAATATATTGTTTGTAACACTTTCTATGAGGTGTACTATGTCATTTGTCGTTTGTTCTCTGTGAGGAAAATTAGATGGTCCAGAAGCTCGTTTCTCTGGCTATTGAATGTATATATGATATATAGGGAATGGATTGATTGTATTCCATATGCTATTTGGTCCGCAGTTCACAGCTATCAATTTTAATAATAATTCCATGTTTGCTTTTCAAAAGAAAAGTCATCACGCTATACTATATGGTTTTGTGCTTGTTTACAAATGTATAATGTAGTGATGTATTCAAAGCTGAATTCACCAAAAATCATTCCCGCGACCAATCTTGATCTTTTACAATGGAGTTTAATGGAATCAATGAATAAAACATTTTAATCAAACACCGAGCAAACAAGAATTTAAGGTGGCTTAATGAATCCGTGAGATGAACACACAAACACCTTTTATTATTCACTTTAACGAAGAATCATTGAATCAAGAATTTCTAATGACGGCTACTCTCCTCTATGTCACCTCTACACAAGCGACACCTACCTCTGACTACAAGACAAAAGAAGAAAGGATCTTTCATCCATCTCATAACACAATATAAGCTCTTGTTTGGCTTTAATTTGTGTTAAATTAAACAATTAATATTAATCACATTTTTATTGGTTCCACAACTTTTCAACCACACATTTCAAAAGTTTATACATATATATATATGCGCTTTAGAGTATTTTTAAGAGACTTTTAAACATGAAATACTCTCTATTTTAAATTAACATTTTAATTTGGAGAGTCAAATTCACTCTCTATAATTAAATGTATTCAAAGTGTTTCAATTTTCAGTATAGGAAAATAATAAAATAATCTAAAGAAAATTTAGATAAAATAAAGATAGAGAAAAATAATAAATTTTTTTTGTGAGTAGTAATATTATGTGTTTAAATATAAAGAGTTTGTCGAAATACTTCAAAATTTTTAACTCTTTAGATTTATAAATGCTCTTAAAATGATATTATATGCTATTTAATGATAGAAATTCTCTTGGATATGCTCTTACAAGCACTAAAATATAGCTTGCTTTTTATGGCATTCAATGAATGTCGAAAAATTTTCTTTATGGCATATAGTTGAATATTGCTATAAATACTGACATCTTTTTACATTATACATTGCATGCCATAACAAAATTGAAAGAGCATCGTTAACAACTTTATTACAACTTCATTATGCACGCCATTAATAGATGTCTCTTTTTGTTGATTATTGACAAGAAGAGATAATTCTCTACCTTAATGCTGAATATCCAGTAGTGTGTTCAACTTCCAGCCCTATGAGGTTTCTTAACCAGGTTCCAAGCTTCCAAGCAGCGTTGAAACTCACTGCTAGGAACAACCTTTGTTAACTTGTCCTCAAGATTACCAGTGTTGACACCTTCTCAGTCTTCACTTTCTTTGTTGCAATTTTCTGGGCCTGATGAAAAGAAGTTTGATACAAAGGTGCTTAGTCCTTTCATGAAATATATGGTTCTTGCTCAACTGGATTGCACTTTGATTCTCAGTGTACACCATAAATAGTCTTTTGTTCATATTCATAACTCATTATTACTAAATAAGGAAAAATCCATTTTTTATTTTAGTTGAAAACCAGCGCACTATATATCTTATCCAGAATATTATGATTAGGTTTGTTTGTATGACTTGTAGGGAACTTTTTCAATGTATCAGCTCGATAGAATTTTATTTATTTATTTATTTATTTTTGTCTCCTTGGTTCCGTCCCTGATTGTATCACTATAATACTAATCAACAACTATAAATAGTTAAATACTGCATATATCTCGTATTGATTTACACTATCTACTAAAGTTGTGAGCTGCTCGAACCATTAAGATGCATTATGTATTGAAGTTGTTCCTCAGAAAATTTTAGAGTAAGAATTATAGGTTAATATTCATTGAGTCCATAAGAAAGCATATTTTCACTAGATTGATATGTATTTTAAAGAACGAATACAATGTCTTTCCTTTTATGGCTGAAGCTTGACCTTCCACTTGTAAATTTTAAAAATCGCAAACAAAAACAAAGCAAAACGTCATCAATCCAATAACAACCCAAAAAATCCAACAATGAAACAACAAGACAACAAAAATTCAATAATAAATCGATAAGGTGACAATGCGACAACAATCCAAATTATCAGATAATAAGCTGGCAAGGTGACAACATTCCAATAATTTCATTTAAATATTAACTACTATCAATAGCAACTAGCTAGGAAATAATTGAATAATAATAATAATAATAATAATGATGATGATGATGATGATGATGATGATGATGATGATGATGATGACGACGAAATAGTGGCAAGCGAAATACCTACTAACTATGCCCCTAATTGATGGAAATTAAAATCAGATTTTTAGTATATTTTGATAAAAATTGTTGAAATGAGGTTGAAAAGTTGTGAGGCTCAAAAAATGTATAATTAAAATTAAATATTGATATTGATTTATATTAAAATTTTAATTTTAATTCGTACCAAACAAGGTTTATATGTATTTCAGTGTCATCGTAAAATGTGAAATTGAAGCAACTAACAAAGTTAGGACGTGGGCGGCAATATGCACAAATTTAAAGATTAGCGAAAAAAGTAATAAAAAATGAATGTTTTAAAATGTCAAATGTAGATCCTACATACCTTATAATAGAGATGAGGCACTTACTGTTCATTCTAGTGGAGCTGCTTTCACACTACTATTACTGAATTATTTTGCCCTCACTGTAACCAATCCAGTTTGGTGGTTCTTTGCTTTTAAAGTTTATTATTGCGGCCATTTGAGCTCCATTCTAGCTCATTAAAATGAGTTCTCAATAGTACATTAAGCCCTTTTTTGAACCCCATTTTTGTAGAAGGAATGAATTTTTGTATAGTGTATTGATGAAAAATGTGTGGTTAAAAAATAAGAAAAGTTTTGGATTTACATGTAATATTATTTTATTGAAGAATGTGTAATTGAAATGATGTTAAAACACTATTGAAATTTTATTTTATTTTTTCAAAGAATGAGGTTCAAACAAGGGCTAATTATTTTGTTAAAAAAATTACGAAGCACACAGCGTGTTGTTGGGTAGTAAATTCTAGTAGAAAACCTAAAAATTCAAAATGTCAAAAATACCATCACTTTTTGAAACCAATTTCCAAAATTAACCCTCTTATTATTTCATTTTTAGCTCCTATTTGATGTCCATTACCTAAAAATGAAAATGGATAGGAATAGTATTATTTAGAAAAATGAGTGGTTGAAAAAAAAGTTAAAGTTTTCGATTTACGTGCAATATTATTTTATAAAAAATTATGTGATTGAAAATAAGAAAAAGAAAAATAGAATGTAATGTAATTTAATTTATTGAGGATCAAACATGGACTTAATAAAAATTCCTACCATTTTATTTGAAGGTTAAACTGGGAATGTATATTTCTCCTGCAAATTTCCCGAAGAGTAAATTTAACCAATAATGACTGAACTTTACACTTGATTACTACTTGCTCACTCATCTTTCACAGATTACTGAATGCTCACTCATCTTTTCATATAATTACTCATTTACCACTCGTCTATTCAAATAATTGGACGACTTTTACAGCAAATTTTCGACAACTTCCGACCACAAAGAATGTCGAATTTTGATACCGTTGGAAAGCTCGCGATATCCTCTTCAATTACCACCCAAAATCTCATTATAACTCTAAGGGATTCGATCGAAAAATTGCCTTAAAAATTGTTCAAAAATTTTGAAAATTTGCCTAGATTTTCAGATTTTTTGGGCAACTTTTAAGGCAATTTTTCGGCAACTTTCGATCATCAAAACTATCTAATTTTAATACCATTGAAAAGCTCACAATGTTCTCTTCAATTACCACCCAAAATTTCCCGATAACTGCAAAGGATTCGGTCGGAATAAACCCACAAAATCAGCATCTTGAAAAGGCGAAAATCTGGACAAAATTCGGGACGCTGACTTTGTGGGTTTATTCCAATCGAATCCTTTGGAGTTATCAGAAAATTTTGGGTGGTAATTGAAGAGGACATTGTGAGCTTTCCAATAGTATCAAAATTAGATAGTTTTGATGGTCGAAAGTTGCCGAAAAATTGCCTTAAAAGTCACCCAAAATATCTTAAAATTTGGGCAGATTTTCAGATTTTTTGGGCGACTTTTAAGGCGATTTTTCGATCGAATCCCTTGGAATAATAATGAGATTTTGGGTGGTAATTGAAGAGGACATCGTGGGCTTTTCAACGGTATCAAAATTCGACATTCTTTGTGGTAGGAAGTTGTCGAAAATTTACCGTAAAAGTAGCCCAATTATTTGAAGAGACAAGTGGTGAATGAGTAATTATATGAAAAGATGAGTGAGCATTCAGTAATATGTGAAAGATGAGTGAGTAAGTAGTAAGCAAATGTAAAGTTAAGTGATTTTTGATTAAATTTACTCATTTCCCGAAAAGTCAAGCATGAATTTGCTGAACTCATAATTTTCAACGACTCTATCTTGGTGGTCCCCTCTGATGGAATGAATGAGAATGGCCAAAAATGGAGCTCAAAAGGCGGCAATATTTCCCACTTTTCAACCCAAAAGATCTTCCACTGTAGCTATTTTTTGGAAGATAAAATCCAATATAAGACATTATTATTGGCACTTCCTCACTAATTTTCGCATCTGTATACTTTCTTCGACAAAGAGAACCCTTCATTACAATCATCCTGTAAATTGTAAGTGACATCTTTATTTTACTTTCTTGAGCTCTACTTTCATATCCTTCTCTATATGCCGTTATTTTTTTTTTCTTTTGCATTTATTGGGGGCTTTTTTTTTTTTTTTTTTTTTTTTTTTTTTTTTTTTAGTGTTTTCCCATTTGCAACTTTTCTTGAAGTTTGAAAAAGAATTTGAAAAATTTCAACTGAAATGCGAGATCGGGCAGCTAAGGTATGTCAAATTTACAAATATTTTTTTTTTTTTTTTTGGTTTTACGTTTACATTTTATTCGGTTTAGGGGTGTGTTGTTAAAATTTGGGAGCTATTTTTGGGTTGTGTATTTTCATCTAAATGCTCTTCACATATAAGCCTCATAAAATGGATGGAGCTTGTTGAAAAATATTGACAAATAATAGTGTTATCGTAATTTATATTTGGACAGAGTAACGACGTTTGGATGGTTTTAAACGGTCGAGGCAAGAGTTCGACTCTTTCTCTTTAAAACGATAATGCTCCGCACTGGTACTGACGGTATTGCAGCACTTGTTTCTCAAGATACAACGATCTCGTCTTGTAATAGCAGTACTGTAAATTACAAGACCCGAAGAATCCATAAAGTTTAGATTTCTCCACACACACTGGATGATTGAAATGCACGAAAGATAATTTTCGAGAATTGAATTATAAAAACAGAAATTATGTAGGGACAAAGGGATAATTTTGGGAGAGTAGAAAATCAATTCTGATTTTGGAATAAATAAAAATCGGGGCATGGGGGCCTATTTATAGATGTTGAAAGGTTGTGTCCCAACAGACACAACTGTCGAAAAGTTGTGTCCAAAAAACACAAACAGTTTGGACAGTCAACCGCCACAACCCGCCAAATTCTAGAAGCATCGCACCATTTGTCACACACAGAAAATTCGGGGAAGAAAAAATTAATAACATAAAATATATTATTATTATAATAATAAAATAATATAATTTAATGTTATTTTATCAAAAAATATATATCAGCTTAGCCCAAGATCCACGACCCGTGACCCTTGACCATGCCGTGCCAAGCCGAGCCTAGCCGAGCCGGCCGGTTGGACAGACGGCGGTGGCCCGCGCGTGTGTGCTTTGGCTTTGGCTTATCCTACTAGCATGTAGATTCTCTCCCCTTCAAAGACTATTGGTACCCTTTGGGGCCCAAACCCAAGTCCCAAACTTGAGCTATATAAGGTGATTTATATTCTTCTGGTTTTTCTATGTGGGATTGGTATTTTTCAATTTTCCACCTATTTTATTTCAACATCAAATGGGTATCTTTTGGCTTTAATTACTCATTCACCCTAAATTGGTTTTGAGAAAATAAATATATCATATTAATCTACTCATGGAGTAGAACACATTCGGCCAAAGAAATCTTATATCTGATTAACGTGACCCACTAAATAAATTGGTCAAAAGTTGGTCAAACCAACTAATTAAACCCAATTCTCCAACAATCCCCCACATGAATGGAAATTAATGCAGTAGACTATGCAGACCGTATAGAGAGATCAGGCGGAATGTTATCGCATCTAGATAGGTATTGAATCTTCCGTAGTAGAATACTATCGGATTTACTTGGCTAATCAGTGAACGCGGTGTCTTGAACTGTCAGCTATTTTTGTAAACCAAGACAATATTATCAACACAATAACCTTCCTAACATTTTCGAGTTCTCACTGTTGTATTCATTTTGGCCCTGAACAACTTTTGGATTTCATAAGTGCTTTAGAGAATTCAAGCCTTTGAAACATTCTCATAAAAGCGGCCACACTTTACACTTATATAGGTGATTTCCTATTAAGAGTACCTGCCATACTTCACTTAGGTAGTCCAAGATATAGGAATCATTAAAAGTATAACTTAACCTAAAACTTTCTGCAGATAGCACTTCCTTATCATAGGATTGGGTAGGAATTAACTCCGAAGTGCTTATTGAATCTTCATAACTTAATTGTCCCATTGAACTAAGATTTTGGGATCTCCAGTCAGTAAGGTTGGGTTATTCTTATGTAGTAGGCTTTAAGTCCATTCCCCTTGATAGACAGTATATTTGATCTCTTGGTAAGCATTTGATAAGCGGATTTGCCATATTTTTTCTAGACTTTACATAATCTATGGAAATAACACCATGTGAGATCAATTGCTTAACTGTATTATGTCTTTAACGTATATGTAGAGACTTACCATTATACATACTACTTTGTGCTCTACCGATAGCCGACTGACTATCACAATGTATACTAATTGCAGGCACGGGTTTAGGCCAACATGGAATATCCTCTAAAAAATTTCAAAGCCATTCTGCTTCCTCTCCAGCTTTATCTAAAGCTATAAATTCAGATTCCATTGTGGATCAAGTTATACATGTTTGTTTAGAGGATTTTCAAGATACAGCCACACCACCAATGGTAAAAACATACCCACTGGTAGATTTTGAGTATTTTGTATCTGATATCCAATTAGTATCACTGTATCCTTCTAATACAGCTGGATATCTCATATAATGTAATCCAACATCTGAGGTGTATCGTAGATATCTTAGAACCCTTACCAGTGCTTTTCAATGGTCATTATTTAGGTTACTTGTATCTCTACTAAGTTTGTTTACTGCATATGCAATATCCGGACGAGTGCAGTTTGTAATGTACATTAGACTGCCTATTATCTGAGAATATTCTAATTGAGGTACGGGTTCGCCTTTATGTTTGGCCAAATGTAGACTTAAATCTACTGGTGTTTTAACTGGACTTTCATCATACGTATTAAACTTTTTAAGTACAGTTTCAATATAGTGAGATTGAGATATTACAAGTCCCTCAGATATTTTAAGAATTTTAATTCCTAATATTACATCTGCAATATCCATATCTTTTATGTCAAAATATTTTGTCAACATTGTCTTGGTATTTGTTATCATATTATAACTACTACTCACAACTAGCATGTCATCAACGTATAGACATGCTATTACATATGCATTAGGTGTGATTTTAATATAAATACATTTATCACATTCATTAATCTTAAAACCATTTGACAACATAGTTTTGTGAAATTTTGCATGCCATTGTTTTTGCGCTTGTTTTAGTCCATATAATGACTTGACGAGTCTACACACCTTTTGCTCTTGTCCAGGAGCGATGAACCCTTCGAGTTGTTCCATGTAAATTTCTTCTTCTAGCTCACCATTTAAGAAAGTTGTTTTGACATCCATCTGATGGATTTCCAAATTATGCAATGCTGCGATTGCAATTAATACTCTAATTGATGTTATCCTTGTCACAGGTGAGTATGTATCGAAAAAATCAAGGCCTTCCCTTTGTTTGAATCCTTTAGCTACCAATCTGGCATTGTATTTATCAACTGATCCATCAGTTTTTAATTTTCTTTTAAAAATCCATTTACAACCTAATGGTTTATTACCAAGTGGGAGATCTATCAATTCTCAGGTATGATTCTGCATAATAGAATCAATTTCACTATTGATAGCCTTTTTCCAGAATGGAGTTTCTGGACTAGACATTGCTTCATTGAATGTCCTAGGTTCATTTTCTAACATATAAGTTAAAAAATCTGGATCAAAAGATGTAGATGTTTTGGTTCTTTTGCTGCGTCTTGGTTCTTCATCACTTTGAGGATTACTAATTGCAGAATCATAAGTTCATTTTTGCAAGCTTATTTCTTTTTTATTTTTACAAGAAAACTTGTCCTCAAAAAATACAGCATTTCTAGATTCAATGATAATGTTTTCATGTATATCCGGAATGTCAGACTTATGTACGAGGAACCGATAAGCACTACTATTATTAGCATATCCAATGAATATGCAATCGATAGTTTTAAGCTCTATTTTAATTTGTTTAGGCTTTGATATTTGTACCTTAGCCAAACACTCCCATACTTTTAAGTATTTATACGAAGGTTTATGACCTTTCCATACCTCATAAGGAGTTTCGTTCCTACCTTTGTGTGGTACTTTATTTAGAATGTGGTTAGCTGAGAAAATTGCTTCCCCCTACAAATTTTGTGGTAAACTAGAGCTAATCAACATAGCGTTCATCATTTCTTTTAGAGTACGATTTTTGCATTCTGCAAAACCATTTGATTGAGGTGAATAAAGGGCTGTAGTTTGATGAATAATCCCAAAATCTGAACAAAATTCATCAAATGGTGCTCCACATTCCCCACCTCTATCATTACGAACAATTTTTATTCGTTTGCTTAGTTGATTCTCAACCTCATTCTTGTACTGTTTAAATGCTTCTAGAGCCTCGTCTTTACTCGTTAGTAAAAAGACATAACAATATCTTGTGCAATCATCTATAAAAGTAATAAAATACTTTTTACCTCTTCTAGTTTGCACAAACTTTAAATCACAAATATCACTGTGAATTAGTTCTAGAGGATTCGAGTTCCTTTCAACTGAATGAAACGGTATTTTCGCTAATTTAGCCTCTACACATGTTTCGCATCGATGATTTTAATCAAAGGACATAGAAGGCAATAAATCTAAACTTACTAATATTCGTAGTGTATTAACATTTACATGTCCTAACCTATCATGCTATAAGTTAGAAGACTCAATCAAGTAAGTAGAAGATTTATTTTTATTAATATCAAAATCCCGGAGTACAGGCATTACATTCAATTTGAATAGCCCATTGGCTAAGTACCCTTTGCCTACAAACCTGCCATTTTTGGTGAGTACAAATTTGTCAGATTCAAATACCAGCATAACCCCATTTTTGCTTAACAGAGCTCCGGATACCAAGTTTTTGCGAATATCGGGAACATGCAGCACATCGATGAGTGTTACTTCTTTCCCTGATGTCATCTTCAGTACTACTTTACCTAGACCAATAACTTTTGATGTTGCTGAGTTGCCCATGAAGAGTTGTCGTCCATTGATAGGAGTGTAAGATGAAAACATCTCCTTATCTGCACAAACGTGACGAGTAGCGCCAGTATCAACGAACCATTC